GAAAGGGAGAATTCCTAGAACAGTTTGCATTGGGGTCGCTTGAGATAACCGTGACTGGGCCACTCGAAAGGAAGACAGGGCTTCTGCCAGACCTGCCGCCCTGAGCCCTTGCACCCAGTGACTCCACAGGCAGGTCACGTGCAAGAAGCCCACCAGTCCCACCTTCACACAGCCCTTCTGCTCTTACCGTGTTGTCCGCTTTCTTTCTTGGTTTCTGTGCTTTTGCTGGCTAACGTCTCTCTCTTTTTGCTCTCACACTTGATCTTCTCTGTCTTTATCTTTGACAGCTTCTCTAGTTTTACCCTCAGGCCCCACCCCTTTTACCCCAAAATATGTCCAAATTTAGATAAGAAGATACAACAATAAAATGAAGAAGTTGTACCAGGCAGATCAGTCTCCCGGGGAACAGCAGAGAAACAGATAAGTCTAGAGATGGGGAAAGAGGATGGGTGGAGAACAAAGGAAATAGCAGATCTCCCAGCACCCGTGTGTGCTCAGCACTTTCACAGCTATGATTGCCTTTGCTCTTCATACGAACACCGCGGGATAGGCAGAGCTGATGGCCTCCTCTCTTGGCCTCTAGGAAAGGGAGGGCTGGAGAAGTGAAGGCTCTTCCCAGGCCCCACGGCTACAGAGGGCAGCACCCAGTCTCAAACCCTGCTCTTCTGAATCCAAACCCTTCCATCCATGATACCATGGAGATGCCCATGAAGTCCACGGGCAACACAAGAAATGGTCCTGCATGTTCTGCAGGGTACATGCTCCAGATTCATTTCCTGAAAGAGAGTTTAGGCTCCTCCCTAGGGGTGCTGGACCCCTAAATTTGTACAATGTCACTTTTACCCAAGAGGCAGAGAATGGCTTCTACGGGTAATGACTATTGACTATTATGGACCTAGGCAAGTGTTTCTTAGAGAAGGCTGGGCCCACAGGGGTGTCTGAGGCCGTACAGTGGTTTTAGGGGGCCCCAGGTCCATTGAGTTAAGAGTTACTGGTAGCCCACAGGCCAGGGGAGGAACCACTGTAATGCTGGACGGAAAGTCCGCTATCCCCCTCCCCGGCTCCACTCCCATTCCTGTTCATCACCTCTGGCTCCTCTCTGGTTTCCACCTTGGTTTTGTCCGCCTCTGATTTTCTTCCTAACTCTCACCTCTGTCCCCTTGGTGACCCCCTCCTGGTTACTGATTTGATTCTATGGCCCACCCCAGTTTTCCATCTCCCCGTTGGATGACATTTGATGTTCCTGGCACAAACTCTTGAGGCTGATCTCCAATGTTTTCAACTTCCCCCCTTCCCCATCACAGACCCCCTGCATACCCTGCCCTTCCTTGACTTAGTTTCTGCCACTTCTCACTGTGTGAGGACTGGGCTTGAGTTGTCTTGGAGAGGTCATGCGGGCAGACCACCAGGAATGGCCTGGTACTGTCCCCCCTTCCTCTGCACCCACACCCTCTCCCTCACTCTCCCCACCCTTGTGATCCACTGCAGGAGATGCCTGCATATGTGCACACCAGAGGATGCACCGGCATTTATAGCAACATCGTCAGAAATACAAAAGAAATAAGCTAAATCTCCATCAATAAGAATGGGTTATGATACTTCCAAATGATAAGAGGAAAAGACAGATTTCTATACACAGACATGCAATAATCTTCAAGATCAAATTTTAAGTAAAAAAAGCAAAGAGCCGAACAGTATATAAAATTTGCTACCATTTGTGTTAATAAAAGAAAACAGGAAATGATACTTATATTTGTATATGCATAGATTTCTCTGGAAGGCAGCAGAAACAGTGGTTAACTCTGGGGAGGGAAACCAAGTCCTGGGGAAAAGGGTGGTGGTGAAATTTCCTTTAGTCCCATGTGGATAGTACCTATTCAAAAATTTTGTTTAAAAACAAGATAAATGCTTTAGAATCAACACAGAGATGTGGAAACAGATGGGAGCTTGAGGATCGCTTCTTAGTTGTACAGATCAGAACATTAAATCACTAAGGGGTAAATAATTTGTCCAAATTCCCAAACTACTAAGTGATAGAGCTATGATTAGAACCCTCGCTGTCATTTGGCACCTCTGCTCGAGGGAACGCAGCTTCAAAACCCTACATATCAGTAGAATTTACAACATAAATGACTGGGTTGTACCCCAGGGTGAGACATGGAAGACTCAATTTCTTCATCTGTAAAATGGGAACAATAAAATCGTCGTGAAGATTAGATTACATCCTGCATGTTTGTCCCAGCACCTAGCACATACTAAGCATTTGATAAATGCCAGTTACTGTTATTTATTATTTTGAGGGTATGATGGAGTTGGTGGGGGCAGGGAGGGCTATGAGGAAGGTTGTCATAGGAGTGTCTGGAAATGAAGGCTTGCAGGGTAAAGAAAAATAAAACACACAGAGACAGAACCCTTGATTCTCATTTATTTAAATAGTCACTAGAGAATTTGAGAGAGTAAATGATGCTTAACACGGAAAACATACGTTACGGTGTGTGTGAGGGATATTGTGGAGAGAACTTCTGGCCTTTTTACTCAGAAATGCCACTAAGGGCCACCTGTGACCAGCATTGTCTCTCATGCTGAAAAATAAATGTACACAACTCAGGACCATCTGGTGTGCTTCTTTCCATTTCTCTTTTACTCACGGTTGTTGAAACGCCCTCATTATTCTTGCTAGCTTATTTCCTTTCCTATTTTCTCCTCTTCTGGGGCCACGGGTCAAGTGGTGACTCAGAGCACTAAGTGTTTTGCTGGGAACTGGGTTCGCCTTCCTTGGAGAGGCGCTGACAAGATGCTGTCGTGCGGGGCTGCTTTGCCCACAGTGTGTCTGGCCTGAGGAGCTGAGTGGGAGCCCCTGCAGAGCCAGGTTTCTGGGAACCGTTCCCCTCCCTTCCCCTTTGTGCCGGGAAGCCCCCTCCTTACAGGCTGAGGGGTGAGAACATGCCGTTCCCTCTCTTGTTCACCACTTCATGATATTACATTCCTGCCTGATTGGAAGGAAAATATCGAGTGAGGTTCAAAGCTCAGGTTCTGCCATCGGCCCTTCTGGGTTCAAACCCTCACTCCTCCATGATAGCTCTGTGATCGTGGGCAAGTTGTATAACCTCTTTGCCCCAGTTTCTATCTGAAAAAATGGTGAGGACAAAATGAGATCATCTGGGTAAAAGGCAGAGCACAGAACCTGGCTCTTAGTAATTCTCTATAAATGTTAACCTGAAATAGCAGAGCAGCTGCGACAGCAGTAGAAGTAAGCAAAAGAAACATAAGGGAGGTCTGGGTGCTAGGGAAGGTCCACAAGTACCGACCTCAAGGAATAGGGTCACTACCTCCAACTGCACGTGGGTGTGAGCCACCGCCCATCCCCCACCCTGTACCCCCACCACATATGTCCAGTCATCACTGGCCTGGGTCATCAGTGAAGAATGCTGTTTGGTCCCAATAGTTCTGCACACAGGATGACATTAATGAGGAGACTGTCCTGGTGACAAATAGCTTTTCCTGATCCGGGGTGATTCATAACATCTCAAAGCATTTAACGTATGTGTGAATACATTATTGACTTACCTTATTTCAAAGACATAAATAGAAGACAAAGTCACTTAACCCAGAAGGCAGAGGTCGATAAATGGCAGATATGTTTTTAATTCCTGCTTTTGGTATATGCACGTGAGGAACATCAGTTAGTTATACTCTGCAGTTTGTAACTGATTCTGATGGTTTGGGGTGACATTTACCAATGTGATTATCAAGTGGATTCCTGGTCTTGGGGGACACTGAAATGTTTATCTATATAACCAAAATAATTATACTATGCTCAAATGAATATTTTTATAAATCAAATCAGAGGAATCCATTGTCATAGAGTCATGCAGATAGCGAAGGTATTGAGTTGGCCCTGCAGTGGCCAGTTGGGTCATTCTGTTGAGTGGTGGCCTGACCTGTAGTAACAGGGCATGGTTAAAGCAGCAACTTCTCTGTTTGCATCGCACCTTTCACCTCAGAAAGAACTTTCACATAAATGATCTCATTTGATATGTTTTCTGTAGCCTAAACTCGTATGCTCTTTTCCTCAGTGGGCCCCATCTGAATGGTAGGCAGTATTATACCATGATGGGACAAAACCTTCAGCTCACCTTACCATGATCACTGCACAGCCAGGTGAGGAAAGATTTTTCAAATAATCATCAAGCTCATAAACCTTTCCCACCCTGTGATGAGCCACAGGATGGTTTTTCAACACAATCTGAAATTCAAACAGAGTAAACTTGCCTATAGCTTATTAATAGGGAAAGTTCTAAAGATGCATTTTATTAAATAAATTTGAATATTGGTACAGTTTCCCTGGTCTCTCAGAAAACTTCCTCTTGAGAATTTCACTTTAAAAATGAGATACACATTGTATTTTTATTTAGAATCCAGGAAGAGTTCTGTCAGCTAATCTCAGACTCAGTTCTTTGCAGAATGTGAGACCTGACACTGAAATCTAAGCAATCACCCCAATTTCAAAGAATTTTTCTCCATTGATAGGTAACTTTTTATCAAAAATTAGGACACAGTGCATTCCTTTACATCTAAAAGTGTCATGTGGCAATTACTTAACTTTCCATAAATGTGAATTTAGATTTATTCAGAAATGTTATTAAAATATCATGATGCCCTACAGGAGGTGTCCTGGAATATCACATTTGACACGACAAAGCTTCTCGATGCCCTTTGCTTAAGCGTGTCTAACGTATCTGGTCAAGGCTCAACTGCTTACATTTGCGGGAAGTTTGTCTCTGGCCTCTGATTCCATGTTCAATATACTCCCAGCTTGAGCCCCATTTATGTTCAATCAATACTCTGTGTCACACTGAACTGGAAGACCAAACACAGTGGATCAAGTTTATCCCTGCATGCATGTAGGATAAATTTAAAAATCATTGAAAACATAACATACTAGCTTCGTCTCCCTGGCAATCTCAATTTCGTGTGTTCCCACAGGTGATCTTGACGATCCGGAACAGTCAGCAGATATGCCCCAGGAAGTGGAAAGAACAGATGAAGAGACTACTATTCTAAGCACATTTGCTGCAGTGACCACAGAAATGTTAATTACAAATACGAGTTCTACCCACATGGATGAGGATGAAAATCAGTTAGAGTTTATACTAATGGTGTTGATCCCGATCATGTTATTGGCCCTCCTATTTTTATTAGTGATAATCCTTGTAACATACTATAAAAGAAAAAGAACTAAACAAGGTAAATATTTTGTGTGTTCCTATTTCCAGACAATTGCTCCATGTATTAATGAACAATCAATAAAACAAAATACTTTTTGCTTCTACACAGAGCCTTCTAGCCAAGGATCTCAGAGTGCCCTACAAACATGTAAGTATTGTACTAATACCCGCCTGGATTTGGGGATAGGGTAGGAGAAGGAACTGAGAGGTTTTAAAGTTAAGCAACAAGGACTACATAAAATAGTAAGTGATGAATGACATATTTCAATGAAGTTTTCCAGAGTTTAAAAATGCCATATTCCTTTCTTTTTTAAAAAAAGAATGTTTTCAGCCTAAATTGAAATTTAAAATACACAGCTGCCATCTCTGTGCCTAATCCAGAAGAAGCCCCTATATAATCTTGGCCAATAGGTCAATGTGACATTTCCCTACTGCTGAAGAAAAGAGGAAGGCTCATGAAGCAGTGGGTCATCCTGGGGTTAGGAATGGGAAGGCTGAAAACCTTGGGGCCATCTCCATGAGAAGAGGATTCTTGCATCTATGTTTTTGTCACAGGTATTGTTTTCTCCCCTACGCCACGTCCTAATTTGATCTTGAAAAGTCCTGAGTGAAGCATTGTTCTTATTCCCATAAAGCTATGCTAACTTTTATAATCAAATTCCTAATTGCCTAAAGATTACTATCATCAATCTGAAACCAACCTAATAGAAGATTCCCTAGGTCAGAGATACACTTTGAGAGTATTCAGTTCCAATCAGGGTAGTTCTAGGTCCAAACCAGACTTAGGTACTTTTGTCTTGTGCTGGTAAAAATGACTCCAACTAGATTTTTAAGTTGAAGTCTTTGGTCATTCCAAAAATCACTCAAGGGAAAAGAATTTCTCTAATAAGATACATATTCATAAGTGCATACAAAACTCACTCTGTGTCCCTCACACCCACTAACAGGGCAACTCTGGCTTTGAGATCATGCCCTTGGCCTGGGGCCTTGCTCACTGTCCTTACACCAGGAGAACCTTTCAGCTCTCAGCAGGAGCTGTAAATGGTCATTCTCCATTATGCCAGCAGGTACAGAAAATGTGAGCCAGGAAAGAAGCACTGAAGTGTTATCTCCTCTCACAGCAGGGGAGGAGATAAAATAGATTACAAAGAAATAGGACATACACATGTTTCTCCATGGATTGAAATTTCAGGGTGACCTAATAGCAGTTGTCACGTGGGAGTTCCTTTGTAAGCCAAAGAAAAAGAAAAAGCAAACAGAGCTGATTAGACCCCAATTTTTTTAAAGTAGAGAAAGTAAGAATTTCCCCCCTAAACCATAGCACACAGCTGGTCTTACCTAATGGAGTCATGGAGTTGGAGGGAGGTTGGAGGTGTCCAGTCAAACGGTCATGCTCTTAGGCTCAAAATCCAGAAAGGGGCTTTTCATTGAACTTTATCGTGAGAATTTCAAAGTTCAAAAGCCATTCATAAGCGAGAACTGGCCTCATTCTCAGATGTGGCCCACGCATCCTACACTGTAGCCGGGCTTGACGTTTTTGCTCTTCCTGGAACATGGCACTTCCGTGATGCCTCCATGCCTGGTTGATGCTATTTCTTCTGTCCAAAATTTCCTTCCTGTCTGCTTGGCAAACTGCCACCCTATTCTTCAATGCCCCACTTCTAAAGTTTTTATGAAGCCTTGAGTAATCACTCCCTAGGCAAAATTAATCACCTCCTCTTCTGTGCTCTCATAGACTGTGGTCACACTTATTGTGCACAGCATTTACATTGGCTTTAAGTTGGTGACTTGCCCTTTTTTGGTCTTTCTTTCTTACTAGGCTATGTTCTCTTTAAGGTCCAAGAGAACCAAGAACTTGTCTTATTTATCTTGTTTAACAGTGTGGCATTGACGTTGAGAGCACAGACTCTGGAACCATGCCACCTAGTAGGCTTTTGCACTTCCTAGCTCTATGACCTCTCTGGTTCAGTTTCCTCATCTGTAAAATGGGCAAATTCAATACCTATCTCATAGAGTTGTGAGAATGAAATGGATTCATCCATGTGAAGCACTGAGAAAAAATAGTACCTGGCATATTCTGTCAGCTTATCATCAGTATCCCTTTTACCTAACATAGCACCTGGCCCAAAACATATGTTAGCCGCTCAATAAATGTTTGTTGAATGAATGAGTTAATGAAAGAACATTAGAACTTTTTGTAAAGAACACCTATTCTCAGAAGTAAAAAATTTGCACATTATCTTTAACACAAATTGGCACATTGTTTTTAGTTTAAATATACTTCACTGTAACACAGAAAACTTAGAATTTCAAAACAATTGCTTATTACAAAAGTTTTTGATAAAGAGCTTTATTTGAATATTTTCTTTTACTAGCCACTCCTTTAATACAGATACAGATCATTAACTGCTTACCAGATGAATCTCTCTTCAGGCAAACTATGCTAAAAGATGAACAACCTGAAGTGCATTCATATCTAACATTATAATGCAAGTCAATAAAAGGAGAATATTTAAATTAACAAAATTTGGCTTAAATAGATTTTTTTCCCAGGAAAAATAAAACTCAGACTAAGTCAGACCAGCATTTTGCCTGGAAATTTCCCAAAGGAGTGTTTTGTGGGAGGGCATGGGTGATATCCCCTCAGAAAGTTAGGGATAGATGCATTGTTTCTTTCCCCACATGAAAATTCTTCTACATCAGGAAATAAGTCTTTAAATTCCACAACTGGGGAGGACTTGGCCAACATCTTTTGAAAGAACGCTTCATCTGATTGAAAATTACCTTTTTTCTTTGGGCCTGTCGGTTTCACATCCAGGAAAAGGAAAGCACTGTGTAGCAACTTGATGTTCAACTGTCATTCTTCCTCAACCTCCAGGCATGAAGTTTGCAGTGGTCATTATTTAATGTTTATTAAGTGTCTTGATGTGCTGTGTCTCTCTGAAAGAGCTGCAGCGAAAGCAGCTGGCAGTCAACCCTCACTTTAAACAGGCCGTGGCTACGTGACACCTGGCTCTGCTCAGTAAATCTCTAGAAAGAGACTCTCTCACTCACTGTTCAGCCTGGAAACAAGATATGCAAACCTGTCTCCTGCTGGGCTCCTGCCCCATCCCCCCACCACCTCAGCAATCCCACCAAGTGCGCAGAGGACAGCAGCTGGAAGGGCGGCATTGTGGGGCTAAGTGGGTGTAATGTAGGAACTGGTGGAGGAGGACAAGGTGGGTAGGAGGATATGAAATGGAAGGACTGTAGGAGGAAAATGGAATCAAGTGGGGGTGGGGGGCTATGTAAGAGCTACATTTGCCTCCCAGTTGCAAGGGAGTAGGTGGCTATTAATAAAGAGATATAAGCCAGGTGGAGTGGAGCGGGCAGGGCCTGACTGCTGAGGACGAGTAATTGGTCTCCCTCCTGGCTTAATGCTCTGCTCTGGCGCGCTCTCCCAGATGTTTTTCTGTTGCCATGGTGGCCAGGGCAGGGGTAATGGCTGTCAAGCAGGGGAGACGAGGCCACAGAAGGCTTTTTGCTCTGTTTGAATACTGATTACAGGAGCTTCACATTTGGTGGATCGGGAGCACTTTTGTAACGGGTTTTTTAACTTTTCCGTCATTTGCGTGCAGGGCTAGCTTTTGCTCACTGCAAAGCCTGCGGGCACCCAGATTATAAAGATAAATCCATGCCCTCAACAGTGGGGCTGTGGGGCCGCTTGCTCTCCGAGAAATTTGTGGGGGTTTATTAAGCAGAGAAGAGCAGAGGGAGTGACAAAACAGGGGGATGTTTATGGGTCACCTGTAGGGGAAGTTCAGTTGTATAGGGGCTTTATTTATAGTAAAATCCCTTAAGGAAATAGCCTGTATGAGAATGAGAATTAGATGAAAAATGTATATATATAAAATATAAGATGAATACACCCCCCTTTCCCCAATCTAAGTGTCTGACTAGTCAGGCATCTGCAGGAAGCTTCAGATTCCTACTGCGGGGCAGGAGAACAAAACCTACAGCCCCTCGAAGGTAAGCAGTGATGGCATGAAACTTAATCTGTGCCCAGCTTTCCTGGATTAGCAATGGCATTAAAGCTTGCCAACCCACAGGAAATTACAGTGGCTCCCGGCTGCCAGGAGCTCAGTTCTAGGTGCCTGCTGGTTGTGTTCCCTCACTGGGGATCCGCATTTCTGCAGACCAGGCAAAAGGAGGCCTCTGAGTGCCAAGGATCAGGAACAGCTGACTATTCGGTGGACAAAGTGGTTTGCTTCTCAATGTTTTTCACATCATAAAAGGCACAGTGGGCCTATGCTATGCACTCATGTGACATCATTGCCTCATTTCTCTGGGTGCGTTGGTCCCCCTGCCAAACAAAACAGAGCTTGAGCTGGGGCACTGGGCTCTGTTCTTGCCACGTGTTCATTTGGAGCCTGATCTGCATTAGAGCCATTCTGCAAACTGTTAACTGATTCTCACCTCAACCAACAGCAAGGAAAAGCAGACTTGTTGGAAGTTTCATTATTATGACAATGCTAAGTCCAAAACATTGGGATTGAATTTAACCCCAGGACTGGACAATCCAGATTAAGACCTAATCATTTATTCCATAAATATTGACTGGGTGTTTACTGTGCTAGCTGGATGGGAGGTGGATGGATGAACAGGACAGATGTGATCCCTGCCCTTTTGGAGCTATGGTCTAGTGGGAGAGACAGACAAAAGAATTAAACAGATGAATTCATCACTGACAAATCGTGGCAAACGCTATGAAGGAGCAAGCAAGGTGCTGAACTGGAGAACAATAGGAAAGACAGGCCCTACTTCACAGAGAGGAGGTGGAGAGGCCTCCCCCAGGAAAGAGCGTGAGCTGAGAACAGAAGGATGTGAGGGATTCGGCCATGCAAAGAGCAGGGTGACAGGAGAGTTCCAAGGGGAGCCCTTGATGGAGTACCCCACATCCTCCTCCAAGACACGGGGACAGTGGCACAGTGTGTCACAGGAGATAAAACAGCAATGTTTTGAACTGGGACATTTTGGGGCTGGGGGCCAAGGAGGAAGCCCTCTTGTATGATCCTTCCTTTCTTCCCCTCTCCACTGTTCTCCTCTTGGTGTGGATAAAATAAAGAGAGGAACATCTGATCTGAAGTGAGCGCTCTCAGAGCACCATTATATCTAAAGAAAACAGAGTTCACTCGGATTGGGATCTCATTTCAATATGGCGATCTGCACTCGTTTGACTTAGAGGTTAATTATTGCTCCCTTAAAAACGTGATTTACTGCCAGTCATTTCTTCTCCTTGTAAAGGAGATTTCAGGTGTTGATGAAATGACAAGTTGTTGCGAACAAATCTAACATGACCTTCATATCTATTCTCTTTTAGATGAACTTGGAAGTGAAAACGTGAAAGTGTAAGTTTCCACTGCCCCCAATCCAGCTCAGTGTGGACAAAGCTAGTGAGGGAGGGGAGCAGATCAGAGAGCCACCTGCCTTTTCAAGAGTTCCTGTTCTAATAGGCCGTGCCCCAGGAGATGGCCTCCTGGATTCGAATCCCCAAACCTCAGTCTAGAGAGGAGAGAATGGTTAGGGGGTGGAGGGGAACCTGAGGACAGGGTCCTCTGTTCAGAAAAGAATTTTTTTCTGACTGCTACCAATTCCACATGCATAGTAAATATTATGCCCCTGGGTGTATTGCAAGGACATCGGTTCCTTTATTCTGGTTAAAAATTGTATCACCAGGGAAGCTACTTTCGCTTGTGTTAGAGGAAGAGAGTCCTAGAGAAAAGATTCCACCCAGAGGGGTGTTCTGGGGCGCTGTCCCCCGCACCCCCACCGCCCTGCAGCCTTACTCATTTAGACACTTGGCTCGCTTCCTCTACAAGGTGTAACGCCCGCGCGGCCATTCAGAGCTGGTGGTCCCCCTCCCCCAACCCCATCTACACTAACCGGGGGCTTCTTTCCGATAACTGTGCGCTCTGAGCCCTCGCAAGTGAGGGCAGTGGATTTCAGAAAGCAATGGCTCCATTTCTCCAAGACAGAAAAGTCTGGGAATTGACGGGAGAGGTGATGAAAGTAGCCTGTTGACAGTGGCCTCTGGACCTGGGGCGCTGATCAAAAACCCCAAAGAAAGGGAAGTGAAATTAAGCAAGGCGAAAATGCTAAATGTGGCAACTCCCTCGAGGAGCACCACGGTGGAAGCCTTGCAGGCTCGACTGTGCCTTCAGCTAGCAGAGGCTCCTGTGTTCCCTTTCAGCCCGCGCACGGGGCTTTGCGCCTTCCATGTTTCTATCAGTGATAGACGGTTTGTTCTAGTTTTGGTCTTTCTTCCTATTAAAGCTTGGCACGCTTGCATAGTGCAATCCCCCAGGCTACCCTGGGGTGTCAGACACTGAATCAGGTTCGTCTTCTTCAGAGGCCACATTCTAGGCTCTCCCCACATGAAACTCAGCACACCATACCTTTTTTTTTTTCAACAAGCTTTTTTGCTCTCTCTCTCTCTAGCCCTATTTTTGAGGAAGACACACCCTCTGTTATGGAAATAGAAATGGAAGAGCTTGATAAATGGATGAACAGCATGAATAGAAATGGTATGTGGTACCCTGAAGTTGATTTCTCTGTCCTCTCTTATAAGAGAAAGTGGCAACAGTTTTATAGATACCCCATAAATCTTGGAGGGTGACAGTGTGAGCCCGACCCACATTAGATCTGGTACGTGCAGAATGTGCATCTGACCATCCTTAAATAGTCGGTTTAATTATTGCCTCAGTTGTTGCCACTTGTTTTTATTTTCGTACAAGTTTTTCAAATGGTCTTTTTCAAGAAGAAAATGGTCTTTCTTCCAGCAAGGAAATCTCTGAGACCAAATGATCTGGAAAAAGTATCTGGCATTACCTTTCATATTATAAAATTTAGAGATCTATGATTTTAATCTGTATAGGGATGTAAAACTTTATCAAATAGAGTTTACATAGATCGGTGCTGTCTAAGACACTAGCCGTATGTGCCTATTTAAATTAAATTTTAAATAGCTAAATAAAATTTAAAATTTAGCTCGTCAGTCAATCTAGCCACATTTTGAGTGCTCAGTGGCTACTATATTGTACAACACAAATCCAGAACATTTCCATCAATGTAGAAAGTTCTATTGGACATACTAATATAGATAGTAATATAATATCCCCGTATAACTTAATTTCCAATTGATATCTGGCAGTAATTGTAGTATATGTTTGTTACTTTTCATTAAATCAATATTTGGACTTAAAATGATGACAGCTGTTTTTTCTTTTTTTTTTAATTCCTTTAAAAAATCAATACATTATTTTAATGCTCTGATTAAATTAATAAAACGCACTATTTATATTTTCATATCATTTGTATTTTTAACATTTATCTTTTAAAAAAGTACCCTGGGGTCTGTCAGATTCAACAATTTACAATGGAGTTGTCAAATCCAGAGATTTGTTATTAGAATTATTGTTCCAAAGGCTTCTCAAGATGAGCTTTCCAAAAGATTCACTCAACCAACTTATAACAACAACGTTTAACAGCTTTTTGTAGTCTAATATTGAGGGAAGAATGGCTCTGTAAAGCATTTGAGGATAGCAGTGGGTCACTGAGATAATCCTTAAAGTAGTTTCATTTTGTTGTTTTTAGTCTATAAACATACACAGTAGAATTTGGAAAAGGCAAAAAAAAAGTAGAAAGAAGAAAAAAAATTCCACCACCCAAAAACAACCTCTCTTAATATTTTGGTGTGTTTCCTTTTGTGCCTGAGATAATTTAACACAAGATCATGATCCTATTATACTCACGAAACCCAGAAAACTGGAAAAAGGCATTTCTGTGGGACAACAAGAGCAGAGAGTTGTTCAACACATAGGTGATAGATCCAATGGATTTTTTTTCCCCTTAAAAATAACAGTGGTGTAACAGGAGAGAACTCTGAAGACTCTTAAGAAGGTTAGTTGCTCCCCACTTTACCTGCTTCTCTTTGATCGTGCGTTGTGACTGAGGTCATTCTACAGACACATCGGGACCTCAGATGAAGCCATTTTATTCCAGTGTCTATCTTGAAACACGCAGATTCTAGCTTTTGGAGCAACAGTGGGGTCCTTCACGGACGGAATAACCAAGCAGTGATGAATGGTGCCCTTTCCACCAGGGCCAGAGGCACCTGGAAGTCTTAAATTTGTACCATTAGCGCTTTTTCCATTTCAAGTGTTGTGCCATCATTAATCTTTTAACCTCTGGAACTCCCTGGTGAGGCCATTTCTGCAAAACCACACAGATCAGGGAAATGCGATACTCAACTGTATGAGTTTTGTGGATAGAAAATAGAATTTCAGTGATTAACACTGAGTTTGCTTTTATTCTGTCCTAGCCGACTATGAAGGTTTACCTACTTTAAAGGAAGAAAAGGAATCAAACCACAGCCCAAGGTACTTCCAATTTCCACCACAGATTATATGTTTGGGGGGGAGGGGTCTGGAGACCACAGTAGAGTACTTTTGATGGCCTTCTCTGTAATTTTATGTGACAATTTACATGGGTGCGTATGTGCGTAGTGTGGAGAAAAGGCAGTGTCAGTTATGGAAAATAGAAAGCTACCAAGTAAATATCTTAGTGGCTCTTTATTTTTAGAAATAAATTAGTATTGACATTTTTTTTCTTCTAAAGACACTGTTGAGTTGGCTTCTGTTTTAGTCATAAAACTTTCTGATCATAACAAACTGTAGGTTTGTTTACCCTGGAAGAATAGATATTTGGTAAAGAAAACAGATGGAGGCGACGGTCTCAAATGGGGTAACAGTAAACAAAAGGGAGTGAAGTAAACATAAAAAAACAAAACAAAACAAAACCCCACCTGGATTAGATTGTTATATGAGAGGAATTAAATGAGAATTTTGAAAACCATATTCTGTTCTACCACTAGGTGGCTCTGCTTGATAGAAAATTTTAGTGCCTTCTGGGCTTGGGTGTAGTGTAGGACTCCACGATCTCATTTCAATTATATTGCCTTTGTGAGGACAGACATGACCTCACAAAATCAGAGAATTGTTTGGTCAGGACGTGGGAAGTGCTCACAGGAAATAGGACTGATGATTCAGCAAGTTGGGGACTTGCTGCACAGAGCACCGCTGTGATTTTGGGGGCACCGAGTTGTTGGCAGGGGTGACTCAGAGGTGACCAGCGAGCAGAGAACTTGAGCCCGTGACTAAGATATAACACTTCTGTCAGAACAAACAGAATAAACTTTCAGAGCAGGATAAATCCCACCGCCATCTCTCCCTCCATGTTAACCGGAGGTCCTGTGTCAATCATCTTAAATACCGCCGGAGTGCGGCCACTTGTCATTGGGCAGTCCCTGGGACGAAAGCATTGCAGAGAAAGACTGATTATTAGACAGTCACTGGGGCAGCAGATGTTTGTCTTCCAGACCCTCCTTCATCCTCCACCTACACCTTACCTAAAGTCGCCATCCTACATCTCTCCCCACATCACCCCACAGCAATCTTACTGAGGCAGCCTCAGCTCTGATGGGGAAGTCTACACCGTACTGTAGATTTCAGTCATCGTTCTCTCCAGATATTTGCATGTTAAGATTCATTACTGGTTCAGAAAAGAGTCTATCCTATTTAAATGAGATTCCAGGTATTAACAAGCAGATGAAAGAAAAAAAATGCTAGGGAGAGTATTACAAAAGACATTACAAAGGCATATTTTCCCCACGTTTTTACCTCACCTAAAAATGAGCCACTACAGCGGCCGGCCGCTGGTGTACCGGTTAAGTTCGTGGGTTCCACTCCCGTGGCGGCCTGTGGTCCAGATCCTGGGTGCACCCCGACGCACCGCTCGTGGGGCCATGCTGTGGTGGCATCTCACACACAGAATAGAGGAGGATGGGCACAGATATTAGCTCAGCACTGATCTTCCTCAGCAAAAAGAGGAAGAGTGGCAATGGATGTTAGCTCAGGGGCCAATCTTCCTCACCAAAAAAAAAAAAAAAAAAGAGCCACTGCATATGTCCAGTATGGGGCTCAGATCACCACAAAAACTCTACAAATGTCTTATTACTGTATATGTGATGGGCACCCTCAAATGTTGCAAAATGTCATTGGTTTTTATATACCTGCCTCTTATTTCTTGAAATTGTTGGCAACATAGAAGAAACTTAATGTTAGAGAATTATGTGGTGCTGAAGTGTACGAGAAGCTTCTTAAAAATCGTATTTTTGGAGCATTGAAGGGTTGGTCTTTGAAAAACCTCAGCTCATTTCTGCCTGTAAGGCAAAAAGCCTTAACCTATTTGGAGAGCTACGTTATGCTAAATTATTGTTTTTAAAGGGAATGTCTATGTTCCTCTGTTGTTCCAGAACTAGTATCTAGCTTTAATTCACAAGACAACTGTCAGGGTTTCACCTCTTTCCCTCTCTGTGCAGCCAGCACACAGGCACTTTCTGATTACTTCAAGGAGTATTACAATATTGCAAAGCAAAGTTAACTTTTATTCACTAAAATCTTAGAAAAGTACAAAGCACTTAGAACAAAGCCTGGCACAAAACAAACTCTCAATAAGTATTGGCTATTATTATTATTATTAATAGGTTAAAACTGATACACAGAAACTCACTGCCTTTGGGCTAAGGAGCTGTGTCCTAAGGCCCAGGAACATCTATGTTGGTGGGTGGAGCATTATTTTTTGCCCCTGGTTTCTCCGGTGACTTCTTTTTGGACCTCACCAATCCTGAGAAATCAGGAATTTGTTTGATCTCCAAGGAATGATCTGGAGACTTCCAATTCCTCTCCATTACCAGGATAGGCCCATTAACGTTGGTGATTTCAGAATAGTCCTCTTAGCAGTCTGGAGTTTTTGAAAGGGTAAAGAGTTTGGATAATCTTATAGTTGGGGTAATCTTTCTTTTCTGTCATGATTCATTTACATTTCTTTCTCCTGTTCTTTTAATTACATTGATAATTGGTGAAATTTTTACTTTGCATATCTAATCCAGGATAGAAATAAGATTTTTTTTCTAAAAGCTTGTGAATCTTTAGAGATATAGGTGGAGAGTACATTGGTCATTGCACTTAGGATCAGAAGACTAGTTTTAAGACCTGAGTTGGATGCTCATTTGTTCTTTATATTAAGACTGGTCACTTTAACTCTGAGTTTCAGTTTCCTCATCTTGAAAAGTGGAAATAATGACACCTGTCCTTCTAGTTTCACAGGATCATGAGAGAGAATAAAACCATTTTGTAAGTTTTAAAGCACCATGCAAATGAAACCAATTCTTTTATGCTCTGGCAATAGTTCTCTCCCCTCTCCCCCACTCCCTAATTGGCCTTTTTTAAAAAGACTTTATATTTTTGAGCAGTTTTAGGTTCACAGAAAAACTGAGCAGGAAGTACAGAGTTCCCCTATACCCCTTGCCCCAACATGTGCACAGCCTCCGCCACTATTGACATTTCCCACTGGAGTGGTCCATTTGATAGAATCAATGAACCTGCTTTGACACGTCATTATCCTCAAAGTTCCCCATTGGGTTTTACTTCTGTGAGTCATCCTTCCTCTACCATTTAAGGTACAGTTGACTCTAAAGAAAGTATGTAACAGTTGCTGAAGATGGAACTTAGTGGAAAACACACTTCCCCATCCTCTTGCTAAACTAAGGTTTCTGGAATCCATTTACAGAATTCAGCCCTTCTTGATGCTAGAAAGACACCCTGACATAGAACCTCCATTACACATAAAGTTCTCCATGCTTCTGAGAAAAAGCTGTTGATCTGGTCAGCATCCTACCCTTAATGCACCACATTGTGTGCAAAAACTTCAAAGGAAAAGGAAAAGACAACAAAGAAATTGTGGAGGAAGAGGAGTTCTATTTTCTTATTTCCCACCTTAGCATTTTCCCCTATAATTCATCCCTGTTGTGTGCCAGCCATTGTAAGAGGCACTGGGAATAGTGTCAGTGGAATAGCGTCCAAGGGGTGGGGCAGGGCGGTGGGAGGGCTCTGCCCTAGAGTTGAAGAGAGTTTCATCACTGACATTGTTAAGCGTTGTCAGCTCATGGTGATAACAAAACACAGATCCATTGAGTTGGTCTTATTATTGTTTTAGTTCTCTGTAAAGAATGCACTCCCTTCTTGTCTCCTCCTACCCACACAGCACCTTCCACTAGATAGTGGTAAAAGCAAGAAAGATAGAGTCCCTTTTATTATGATGCTTAGAATCCAGCCAGCCTCTTCCTTCTTCCTCAGGCCTTTATAGTTAGACGGTTTCCTGAAAGCTTGGTGTTTGTCTCTGCAAGCTTCGATGAATAACCACAGAAAAGGAATTGCAGATATTAGCCATGTGCCCATCTTCTTTCCCTTTATGCCTGTTGGCCACAGTGAGGATTTTACATTGAGTAACAGCATTGGGAAAGATTAGAGAAAGAATTAGATTTGGTTACATGCAAGTGGGTTTATAACGTTGAAAGTACCTTAATAACAACAATAAGACATTTATATAGTGTGTTCTATATGCCAGATGCCTAGATGCTATTACCTAGGAAATTAAGTCAGTCAGAGAGGGTAAGTAACAGTAGACCTGTTCTAATTGTGTGATAATTCTATTGTTTATTCTATGATTCATGCCTAAGCTCAATGACATAAAAATAGATCACTTCAGTATTTCTCAGGAAAATCTAGGTTATTTTAATAGAGAATTCTGTGAATTTCTTCCTGTTTCTCTCTTCTCTTTGTCTTTTTTTTTTTTTTTTTTTGGTGGGGAAGATTAGCCCTGAGCTAGCATTTGTTGCCTATCCTCCTCTTTTTGCTGAGGAAGATTGGCCCTGGGCTAACATCTGTGCCCATCTTCCTCTACTTTACATGTGGGATGCCACCACAGCAGGGCTTGATTAACTGTGCATAGGTCTGTACCCAGGATCTGAACCTGTGAACTCCGGGCCCCCAAAGCAAAGCACTCAAACTTAACCACTACACCACCGGGCTGGCCCCTCTCTTTGTGTTTTGTCGGAGAAAGTACAATTGTCGATGTTGTTTTTCAAAATATATCTATTAAGCACCTAATATGTGCCTGGCATTGTCTACATCATGCCAAGACAATCAGTTAAAATGAAATAATCTGCGTAAACTTGGAACTCAGAGAGGTTAAGTGATTTGTCCAAGTTCACACAGCAAATTTGTGATGAAGCTCAAACTAGAGAAGAGTTTCTTTTAAAACTGCATTTCTCATTTTCTTTTATTAATTAGTTAAAATAAAAGGGATATTCCATAAATTAAAAGTCCAATTAGAGATGAAAAAGAGAAAAGAACACTTAGAAGCAAGAAAGCCAGCCACCTCGAGGCCAATATATGAAAGTATTTGATGTATGATGTGTCCATCATCTAGCGCAGTCATTGACAAGACTGAACCCTTAATTGCAAGAAAACAACAGTTT